GGGGGGGGGGGCTCCTGTCACCAGGACCTGGGGCCTCTGACACTCACTCAGGTCCCTCACCCCGAGGGTGATCTTGGGGTTCACTGGGGTCTTGTGCCTGCCTGCCCAGTATTCCTGGCTGTTCTTCCTGTCCCGGGGAGTCGTGGGCACCGGCTCGGCCAGCTACTCCACCATCGCGCCCACCATTCTGGGCGACCTCTTTGTGAGGGACCAGCGGACCCGGGTGCTGGCCATCTTCTACATCTTTATCCCTGTCGGAAGGTTGGTGCCACCCCGGACCCGCTCCCCCAGGCGGTAAACTGAGGCCCAAAGGAGCCAGAATAGTCTGGGCTGGGGTAGGAGGGCATCAGACCAGGAGGGCTCCTTCCTCGCTTTGTCCCTTTAGCACCCTGGGCCTCAGTTTCTTCATCTGTAAAGGGGGGGGGGCAAGAACACTGGCTGATGGGCTGTGTTGAGGGTTCGAGGGAATAAAGATGCCTCCTACCCCGTAGGACGCTTGGGAAGGCCTGCCTGGGGAAGCGTGTGGGGCCGGGGCGGGCTCCCCTGGGTGGGGGAGGTCAGAGTGGATTTGCAGTCGGGCCCAAGAGCTCTGAGCCAGGTTTCCTGGCATTGCCTGACTCAGGCAGGGCTGAGCCTTGGGTCCTTGGATAGGGAGGCAGGGGCAGTGGTGCTGGAGACGGGCCTGAAGCCAGAGGTCACCGGTGACTTGACCAAGGGCAGTGGACATCTGGGCCTCATGTGGCTCACTTTTCCTGTGACAGGGCTGTGAGCAGCAGAGAGCCGGCCCCTTGGGGTGGGGCGCCCCAGCTCAGGCTGGCCTTGCAGCCTTGGGCTCAGGCTGGGCCTCCCCCACTGCCCATCCCCTTGCCCTTCCCCCCTCACTCCCGTTCCCCTCCCCCCCACTGCCCCGTCCCACCCCCCCTCACCGCCCACCCCCTTGTCCATCCTCTGCCGCAGTGGTCTGGGCTACATGCTGGGCTCGGCCGTGTTGCAGCTGACCGGGAACTGGCGCTGGGCCCTCCGAGTGAGTCCAGCCTCCTGTTCTTCCTCTGATCCCCCTGGGCAGGCAGGGACTTTCCAGCCTCCAGTGGCCTTCGCCACTTGGCACGGTAGCTGGCGCCGTGGGGGGTGGTCAGACGTTGGCAGCTTCAGACGTTTGACAGAACGTGAACTGTGGAGGTCACGGCCCTGGATTCAGATGCTGGCTGCTGGGTCTGCTCAGGCCGTGAGCTCAAGCAAGTGGCTTGCAAAGCGGGGGCAGTACGTGCCGCCTCCTGGAATCTCAGAGGTGGACAGACAAGGGTGGGGACATCCCAGGGCAGAAGTGGCCTGGCAGGTGGAGGTGGTGAGAACCCCAGTCGGTGCCAGTCCTCAGCCACGTGGGCTCACGGACCCCAAGAGAGCAATCACTGAACAGACCGTATGGAGGGAAGTCCCAGGGGGACCCTACTCCCCAGAGAGGCTGCATTCCTAGGGGTGAGGGGTGAGGGGCAGTCAGGAAATGAGCCCCCTGCCCCACCCCTCCCAGGGCACAGAGCCTCCCGGAGCCTGGGCCACATGGTTCAGCCACGTGCAGGATCTCCTGGGTCGCAGGGGTGTATGTGTGGCCCTGAGATCCTGGGTCCTCCGTGCCCAGGTCATGCCCTGCCTGGAAGCTGTAGCCTTGGTCCTGCTTATTGTGCTGGTTCCAGACCCTCCCCGGGGAGCTGCTGAGAAGCAGGAGGAGGTGGCCACGGGGGGCCCGAGGAGCAGCTGGTGGGAGGACGTCAGATACCTGGGGAGGAAGTGAGTGTCCCTGCTCCCCCCTGCATGTCACCAAAAACCCTGTCTGCCCCGGCATTGCTGACCTGCCTCTCTCCGCCTCCAGGGAGCCCTCCGTGACTGTCCCAGTGTTCACAGCCTTCTTCCTCCTCTGAGCTCCCAGTCACCAACTGAGGTGCCCCTCCCTCAGTTGGAGGCCCCCTGCGCCTGCCTGCCTGCCTGTGACGGAATGGGGACCGGAAGGGAGGGAGGGAGGCAGAGTGAGCTCTGCCAGGGCCTTATCCCCGAGTGACCTGAGACTTGGAACCTCACTCCCCTCATTTATTCAGTGGACATAATTCTCCCCGGGGTTGCCGGGAGGATGCTGGGAGTTAATCACTCACCTCTGCAAACCTCGTGGGAGTGCGTCCATCCTCTTTCTGTTCCAGGCATGGGCGGGGAGGCGGCCCCAGTCAACTGCACTCCCGGCCTCATGACTTACTGGAATGTGGGGTGCGGACAGGCCCCGGCTCTCTTTGATA